GACTAAAATTTTGGTCAAGGGAGCCTATAGGAATATCAAGTAGCAGTTTATTTTTTAAACTCCCCTCTACCCCCTGTCTTGGGGGTTGCTTTAACCAGCACTTATCTATTAGGGTGCTCACATTTTAAAGACATGAAAAGATTAATATTTCCACAGGACTGAGAAAGGAAGTAGGTTTTATCTAAGAAGGAACTCAGTGTCTTAGTTACCTGTTACCAGAAATCTAGGGTACTAAGTATTTAAGGTGCTGCTTTCTTTTTTTAAGGTGTGAGTCCAATGTATTTTTTTTTTCAGTGACGGCCCAAAATACAGGTGTCCCCCCAAAAATGTATGCACACTGTGAATAATTATAAGGCAGAATACATCTCCTTTTCAAAATGTAATAGAATATGCAGCTATCAGTTGTTAAAGTGTGTATACATTTTTTTATTGTTGTTAATCCTCACCTAAGGATATTTCCCCATAGATTTTTAGAGAGAGGGGATGGGAGAGGGTGAGATACAGCGACAGAAACATCGATGTGAGAGAGACAATTTATTGGTTGCCTCCTGCACACCCCCGACCAGGGCTAGGATCGAGCCTGTAACCAAGGTACATGCCCTTGACCAAAGTCAAACCTGGGACCCTTCAGTCCGTGGGCCAACGCTCTATCCACTGAGCCAAACCCTGCTAGGGCTAAAGTGTGTATACATTTTGGGGGGACACCCTGTATAGGAAGTCCTGGACCTTATAGGGTCTGCTTACAGAGTAAGGAACAATAAATGAAGTCTTTGTTGCATTTTCTGGGTCTTCCTGAAAGCAATTTCCGGGATACCAGTACTTATGAAAGTTTCACACCTGCTTCAGTATCACTTGCAGTTTTGACATTTGTGTGAAGCTTGGTCTCCACCTCCTAAAATTGTTAAGGAAGTGTTTTGGGGTTTTCATGTTTTTGTTTGGTTTTGTTTGTTTAGTGTTTGTTTGTTGCATTTTTAAAAATTAAATTTATAGGGGTGATTGGGTTAATAAAATTATATAGGTTTCAAGTGTCCAATTCTATGATATATCATCTGTATATTGTATTGTGTGCTTACCACTCAAAGTCAAATCTTCTGTCATCATATATATATTTTCCCCTTTATTGAATTGTAGGGAGACAGGAAGGGAGAGGGATAGAGATAGAAACATCGGTGAGAGAGACACATCATTGATCGGCTGCCTCCTGCATGCCCCCTACTGGGAATTGAGTCTAAAACTCAGGCATGTGCCCTGACCAGGAATTGAACCAGTGACCTCTTAGTTCCTGGGTCGAAACTCAACCAATGAGCCACACCAACTGGGCTGTCACCACATATTTGACCCCTTTACTCTTAGCTAATCCTCCCATCCCCCTTCCCTCTGGTAACCACCTTACTGTTGCCTATGTCTACGAGTTTTTGTTTGCCTTGTTTGTTCACTTGTTGCTTCCAGGTTTATTTCCCACATATGAGAAGTCATATGGTTCTTGACTTTTTCTGTCAGACTTATTTCACTTAGCATGATATTCTCAAGATCTATCCATGTTGTTGCAAATGGCAGTATTTCATCTTTTCTTACGGCTGAGTCGTATTCCATGGTATACATTTATCACATCTTTATCCAAGAATCTACTGAAGGATACTTTGTTGGTTTCTGTGTCTTGGCCACCGTGAATAATGCTACAATGAATATAAGGGTGCAATATCTTTGTGAATAAATGTTTTCAAAATGTTTGGGTAGATGCCCAGAAGAGGGGTTGTTGGGTTATATGTAACTCTATTAATTTTTTTTGAGGAAACTCCATACCTGTTTCCATAGTGGCTGTACAGTTTACATTCCTACCAGCAGTGAATGAGGGTTCTTTTTTCTCCACAGCCTCTCAAAACTTCTTACTAGTCTTGTTGATAACAGCCATTCTAATAGGTGTGAAGTGATATCTCATTGTAGTTTTGATTTGCATTTCACTAATAGCCGGTGAAGTTGAACATCTTTTCATATAGCTATTGGCCGTTTGTATGTCTTCTTGGGAGAGGTGTCTGTTCAGGTCCTCTGCCTGTTTTTTATTTGGATTGTTTGTTTGTTTGGTGTTGAGTTGTATGAGTTCTTTAATATTTTGAATATTAACCCCTTGTCAGAGCTATTGTTTGCAAATATCATCTCCAATTCGGGCAACCCCCCCCCCCATGACACACACACTAAGGCATTCTTCTATATCTATCTATCCCCTTCCTTCCTTGGCATTCTTCTATATCTATCTTCCTTTCTCCATCCCTCCCTCCTTTCTCTCTCTCTCTCTCTCTCTCTCTCTCTCTCTCTCTCAATAGGACATTTGTTTAGGATAAGAGCTCTGTTGAAAATCCTTTTAGATGTGAAAGGCCAGATCTTCAAAGATGTACCTATTTCAATTGTCACTACATACCAATAAGCCTTTTTATGGCTTAACCATGGACACAAGAGCTGTCTCCAAAGAGTGCATAAAAGATGCAGATTTCTCAAGATGCAGAGCCACTCCAAAGATAATCTAAGAAAGCAAAGACCTCACTGTCACAGGTAGTAAAGAAACTTCTACCTCCCACAAAGTGAGACACCTTAAATCACAGACCCATTCATCCATGTTACTGGAAAGGAGATACTGGGCTGGGAATTTTTCCAGTGCAAACAAGGCAACTAAGGTAGATATGACAATGGTTGTTTATATTCTGGGACTCTTTATTAAGATAAATTCTCCAGCTTGGCTGGCGTGGCTCAGTGGTTGAGTGTTGACCTATGAACCAGAAGGTCACGGTTTGATTACCTGTCAGGGCACATGCCCGGGTTGCGGGCCCTGTTCCTTGTGTGAAGCATATGCAGAAGGCAGCCAATCAATGATTCTCTCTCATCATTGCTGTTTCTCTCTCTCTCCCCCTCTATATTTATAAAAGACATACTCTCTGGAAAGCTGGCACATTTAGACAAAGAGAATGCTGCTTTTTAATGTCTTAGGTTCCTAGCCAGCTGGCTAGCTGGCTGCCTGATGCAAGCTTGACAATGAACACCCCTCCCCACCCGCAAGTGGCAGAACCAAGAGAGTATTCTCACTGGTTACAAAGCCAAGTTTTGGTACATAAAATAAGACAAATGGAGATGCTCATCTTACGATTTTCATTTTTATGAAAAATGACACCAAAGACAGAGACAAAAGAAAACCTGACTGTTTCTGGTAAGCTAAGAATCAATAACCTATGGGCGCCCCAAAGCAAATTTCTAAGAGTCATAATTCAAGATCTATTTTTACAAGTGGTTTTCTCCTGCCATTATAATTTGGAAAGAAGAGACAAGGAGAAAATGTTATCCTCTTCTCTTGACTAGTCCGATATGGGACACTGACATGGTGAGAATTCTTACCTTCTGTTGTCTATTGTCACTTATCCCATAGGTCATCTGCAGTCTCTAGGGAGCGTGGACTATCCCAGTCTTTTAATGTCCCATCCTCATTGCCAGAAACTCTACGGGAGGAAAAAAATCCCTTCCCTTCCACGCTTTTAGGGTTTCAGCTGGGACTTTGTAACAAAAGACAGATTAACAAGAAAAAATAAGAATGTTTATAAAATGCACATCTCATATATGCGTGGGAGAAATGCAGGGTTGAGTAACTCCAAGAAGTGACTAGCCCTTGCATTTTCATAGCATCTTCACCGAGAACAATACATTTTTAGAGAAATGACAAGACAGAGGAAAAGACTCTTAATCTTCCAAGGGCAGCGAACCGTGGGAAGCTGAATATATGGGGAACTAATGGAAGATAATAGCTGGTCAGTAGAGTTTGCTATGTGCTGCCTCAGGGCTGACAAGCCTCTTCTGTAGTATTGTAGGTTATTAACTTCTGTACAAATTTATGTTCTGCTTCAGGCACATAGTATAGAGAGCTTTTTGTGGGTCTGTTTCTTCTTAATTGCCTTCAGCTCAAAATAATCCTTCTGGCAAAGGCACAGGTTTTCAAGCGGCATATTCTGCTATTCTGTAGGTTTGATTATAAAGTTCCCCAACTTTATAATGACCCCTAGTTTTAACATGGAAATCTGAGGTAAGGCATGTTGAGAAGGTGTTAGGGATGTTATTCACGTGAGGCTTATTTATAAACAAAACATGCCCTGACCGGTTTGGCTCAGTGGATAGAGTGTCAGCCTGCGGACTGAATGGTCCCAGGTTCAATTCCAGTCAATGGCATGTACCTTGGTTGCGGGCACATCCCCAGTAGGGGGTGTGCAGGAGGCAGCTGATAGATGTTTCTAACTCTCTATCCCTCTCCCTTCCTCTCTGTAAAAAAAAATCAATAAAATATATTTAAAAACAACAGCAACACATATCATAGTAACAAAAAAAATTAAAGTAGACCGGCCAGTGTAGCACAATGGTTGAGCCTCGACCTATGAGGTCACGGTTCGATTCCTGGTCAGGGCACATGCTGATCAGTGATTCTCTCTCATCATGGATGTTTCTATTTCTCTCTCCCTCTCTGACATCAATAAAAAAATATATTTTTAAAAAATTTTACAAAAAAGTTAAAGTAGAAATCAATCTGGGCAACATCATGTGGTGCTATATACTTATTAAAATGACAGACAAGGTGTCACGTTCTTTTATGCAAAGAGTACATAAAATAATTTTAAGTTGAAAAAGATGAAAACAGCACGTGAACACACACAAAACAATTTAATGAAATGAATGTTAATGAAAAATCAGAGCTCATTTTCAGTTTGCATAAAGTGTTCGTTTGTGGGTTTTTTTTCTTTCTTTAGAGTTGCTCAAATTCATAAAAATAAGAGAAAGTTCCTGTTTTGGAAACAGTGCTAATACCAATTCTTCCTGAGCAGGTCTTTAAACATTGTCATTTCATCAATTTCCTGTGGATTAATTCTTTTAACCTTTTGAAGTCAGAGAACCAAAAAATTGTTCCTGTTTTCCACATAGCTCAAAGGGTGGAGCCTCCAAACCACTAGGAGAAGAAGGAAGTTAAAAGAGGTTAAATACTGGGGCCAGCCTCCCCTGGCCAGCTGAGCGGTCTGGCTTCGCAGTCAACATGAAGGCTCTCCTGACTCTGGGGCTGCTCCTCCTCTCTGTCGCCGTCCAGGCCAAGGTCTATGAGAGGTGTGAGCTGGCCAGAACCTTGAAAAGACGCTACAGTGGGAGCCTGGCAAACTGTAAGTTACCTCTCCCTACTTCCAAATAGCCAGCCAGGTGTGCAACAGACTAATAGAGGATGAATAATAAGAAAGGGGCTTTGCGTGAATGGACTTCTTTAAGAAAAGTTATTTGAGGACTTTTATACTTAAAAATGGTTAAAAAAATATATCAACTTGTTTCTTTATAAACAGAAATGCCAGATGAAGGAATGAGGGCACGGGAGTGCAAAATTGTGCACCATTCTAAGTAAACCACCACCCGTTGTACTCTCCAAGTGCTACCAAGCTTGCCACTTGCCACAGACTGAGTGGCACATGTAGGCTGACTGATACATTTGAGCACGTGCTTGACTCCAGCTCTTTTCCCTGTGGAACCTGGGCTCTGTGAGCCTAGAATAATGCAGTGTTTTTCTCTTTTTAATTCCCTTGCATGACATGAGGCTTTTCATAGCAAAGTTTTTTTGTTGTTGTTTTTTTTTAAATTATGTTGAAATCTCAATACAGGGGCAGTAGGAACCTATTTCCTCTCAATCACTGTTTATGTCAGGATCCCTGAAATGCAGCATGAAATGCTATCTTATTATTCTTTCTCGCTCTAGTTGATTAACTGTTTTCATTTTCTTCTATGCAATCCAAGATGTGCCTGTGTAAAAGTTACTTTGTATTTTAGCCCATTTTTGTCAATGTTATCAATGTATGTTTAGGTTGAATTCGAACACTTCCCCTTAATAACTATTTTTGAATGAATGAATGAATAGTTTGATGGATATATGGATGGATGGATTATGAAATAGTCTTTCCTCTTCTACATCTTTATGCTTATAAAGTAAGTCATTAGTAAAATAAAATTAGCTATATAGAACTGCTTATGGTATGCAGTATGTGTCATATGGTATTGCTATTTATTACTAAAAATATGTTATTTTCAGGGATGTGTTTGGCCAAATGGGAAAGTAGTTACAACACACGAGCTACAAAGTACAATCCTGGAGACAAAAGCACGGATTATGCGATATTCCAGATCAATAGCCACTACTGGTGTAATGAGGGCAAAACCCCAGGAGGAGTTAATGGCTGTGGTATACCCTGCAACGGTAAGAGAAAATAACGTTTATGTGATGGCACAGGACCCATCTGCTTATGCTTACAAGAATAGAGATTCAATACAAATGAAAGGGGGCGTGGGCGGGGAGTGGGCGGGGAAAAATACAAATTAAAAGGTTTTGAAAAATTCAACAGGGACCTAAAAGAACGCCATCTCGCCCTGGCTGGGTGGCTCAGTTGGTTGGAGCATCATCCCGTACAACAAAAGGTTTCGGGTTCAAGTCCTTGTCAGGGCACATACCTAGGTTGTGGGTTCTATCCCTAGTTGGTGTGCGTATGACAGGCAACCAATTAATGTTTCTCTCTCCCTCTCCCTCTCCCTCTCCTTCTTTCTCTAAAATTAAAAAAAAATACATATCCTCAGGTGAGGATTAAAAAAAAAAGAGGTGACTCTGACTTTAAAAAATCAAGGCAAATCAAATCATAAAAATGAAAATATTGGAGAAATATTATAAAATTGATATCGTTAAATTTCTACATGTTAAAATTCTAATAGAAAAGATTATTCTTAGAATATTCATTTGTATCCAGTTAATTTATTTTAAAAATATTTTGTATTCTATAATAATCTGTGGTCACTGAATAAAAATTCTTACTACCAAGAGATTTATGACTACTAGTAACTTTTGGTATATATTGTTCTAGATAGAATACATATCAATCATGTCTGTGAACATAAAGCTATGTCATGTATAAATATACCTACATATAAACATGTAATAATGTGTGGTGTTCTTTATGGTTATTTTTTTATTATTATTATGGATTTTGGAGAGAGAGGAAGAGAGAGGGAGAAACATCAATGTGAGAAACATGGATTGGCTGCCTCTTGCACGCCCACTACTGGGGATTAAGCCCACAACCTGGGCATATACCCTGACCAGGAATCCAACTGTGATCTCCTGGTTCATGGCTTGATGCTCAACCACTGAGCACACCGGCCAGGCACAATGTGTGTTTTAACAAAAATGAAATTGTACTATATATACTGCTTTACAATTTGTTCTTTATCACACAAAATTATTTAATGTTAACAAATACCAATCTTTATTTTATTTTTATTAATATTTTATTTTTATTCTTTTATTTTATTTTATTTTTGGGAAAAATTGATCTTTTTTCCCTTTTTTTTTTAGATAGAGGGGAGGGAGGAGAGAGAGATAGAGACAGAGAGAGAGAGAGAGAGAGAGAGAGAGACAGGGAGAGAGAGACATCAATGTGAGAGAGACACATAGATTGTTTGCCTCCCACATGTGCCCAGACTGGAGCCATGGATGGAGCCTGCAACCGAGGTACACGCCCGTGACTGTGAATCCAACCCTTGACCCTTCAGATCTGTGGGCCAGTGCTCTAACCACTGAGAAAAACTGGCCAGGGCTCTTATTTCTTTAGTGGAAATTTCTAGTAGTAGAATTGCTGATTAAAAATTACTAGGTTGGTTCCTCCTTTTCTTCTAATAGTGCCTATTACAAAGAGAACTATGTATCTATCACAGTAGTTGATAATTCCAGAACTTCCAATGACTTTGGTATCTGAGTTTCCTCCCAACATTTACAGATGCATAACTTGTGGAAAAGAATTGTAGTGTCCATTCCTTAGCCTAAGAGAATAAAATGGGCTAAACCTAAATTTAAAATGAAATTTCTGTGAAAGTTGTCTTCATTCCTCACCACCTGTTTTTCAGTTTTGCTTCAAGATGACATCACTCAAGCTGTAACCTGTGCCAAGAGGGTTGTCAGGGATCCACAAGGCATCAGAGCATGGTATGTGTAAGCTTACAGGGGAAAGCTTTTTTGCCCTGTGTTAGGAGAGAGGTGAGAGAAGATTTTCAAGGACCACCATATGCTACTGAGAACTGAAAGTTGCAGCTTTAGATTTATGCTAAACAAAGTATCACTTAGAAGCAATCTATTTTAACATTTTAATGGATTCAGAATCTTTTCCTCTTACTTCTCCATTAATTTGGGAAGATTTCTAGAATTTTTAAGATTCTCCACACTCTACCAGTTCCTTGTCCGATTTTGAAATGTTTGGAATGAGGTAAATGTAGAATGCACTTTGCAGTGGCTGTTAGGAAATGCACGTGACTCTCGTGGTCAGCATACTGTGCTGTAGCCAGGGCTTTGGGGAGACGTGAAGTATTGGGTGTACATATCTCCATTTAATAAATAGCAATACCTGGATCTATCAAAAGCCTGTATTTCATATAGTGTTAAAAATCTATTTTAACATTTTAACGGATTCAGAATCTTTTCCTCTTATTCCTCCATTAATT